CTTCAGTAAAATCTTGCTTGCATGTGAAATCAGTGAGATTGTTCTGTAGTTTCCACATTCTGTTGGGTCACCTTTCTTTGGGATAGGAACAAATATCGGTAGCTAATTTTAAATTCTTGAATTGAAAATAAGCTTATCAATATTTAAATAAAACTAGTACCACCCAACCACTCTGGAAGGCACTTTGACACTTCTTCGAAAACCTGAACATAGACCATATGGCCCAGCTATTCCATTGCTTGGAAATACCCACCCCCCTCCAAAAAAAAAGTGACAACTGAGACTCAAACAGGGGCTTGTACACCAGTTTTCATGGTAGCATTATCCACCATCACAAGGACATGGAAACAGCCCAGATGTCCAACCACAAATGAATGAATGGAGTTGTGGTAGAGTCATGCAATGGAATATGACATAGCACGCAGGAGCAATGAGTTTGTAAATTACTACCTAACTTGGGAGGGACTGGAGAGCATTATGCTGAGTGAGTTAACACAATCCCACAAGGACAATATTGTATAAAATCGTTATTGTGTAATGAGTATAAGGATCCAAGTGGGGAAGGGTGTAAGCAAAGGGCTGAGGATGGACGGGGCATGGGTGGGGTGTTAATCATAGGGTTACACAATTTAGTGGGGGTGGTGAAGGAAATGGGAAGGATCTTGTGTGAAAAACAATGTATTCAAACTTTGTAAATAAATCAGTATAATAGATAAAAAATTTTTTCTTTTAAAAATAGTGTTACCTTCCATGAAGAGATTAGGGGAAAAAATCAGTTAACCTTTATATCCATATTTTTGTTGTCGTTGTTATGTGTCACTGAGTTGCCTGCAACTCATAGCGACCATATGTACAACAGCCCTAAACAGTGCTCTGTCCTGTGCCAATCGCACTGACTCTGGCATGCCTACCCCGCGTTACACCAGTCACTGAATCAATCCATCTCATCGGGGATCTTGCTCCCCTGCGCTGTTCCTCAACCCTCCCAAGCATGATGTTCCTCTCCAAGGTCTGGTCCCTCCTTGCATCATGTCCAAAGTATGTCAGATGAAACTACAGAATCCTTGCCTCCAAGGAACAGTCTGGTTTCACCCTCTGCAAGACGAACTTGTTTATTCTCTTATAACTACATGATATATTCAATATTCTTCTCAGCACCACAGCTTGAAGGCATCAATTCTCCTTCTCTTATCCCTAGTCATTGTCCAGCTTTCTGATACATAGCAAGTGATTGCAAAGACCATGGCCTGTATCAGGTGCACCTTAGTCTCCAGAATGACATTGTTGCTTTTCAGTACTTTGGGGAGGTGTTTGTAAACTGAGAGGAAAAAATGGATACTAACCACTCATAAATTGACTAAATCTCCCAAAACACCATCCATGACAGCCACAGAATACACTATTTCACCATCATTACATTTTCTCCATCTACAACTGTAGCAATTAATTTATCCTAAATTTATGTGATATTCCAAACTTAGTGCTTTCTTTGATCTTACCTATTCTGATGTCTTTCCAGTAAGATAAAACATGTGGGTGAGATTTACCTTTTCTTTCTTGACTCTCATGAGTAAGAGAGTGAGAGCCTTTACCTCCTTCTTTATCTGGAGCTGTTTCTGCAGTGTTAAATACTGTTTCCAGTCATGGTAAAGACTAAAGGGGAAATCAACTAAATAAAATTCTGGGGAACACAAATTTGCAGAATAGAATTCCAGGTTTTCTGACAAGTCAGAGTCAAGTGGTGAATACAGCACGCAATGGTCTTGTATAAATCTGTAGCAGCAGTCTTACACTTCACACCCTGGCTATTATCAAAATCCCTGAATGATGTTTCCTGTACAAATCCTTCAATAACATTAGTGGGAGTTCTAAAGTCTGTGAATCTCATGTAACAGTTGTTGTTGCTGTTGTGTACTATTGAGTTAGAATCAACCCATAGCTGACTCTCCACCAGGTTTTCAGAGACTGAAATTGCACAGGAGGGAATTTCTCATCCTTCTTCCAAGGAGCAGTTGGCAGATTCAGTGTGCCCTCAGGATTGCATATCGGATTCTTACTTACCATTAGGCCACCAAAACTATTTGTGCTTTGCATGTTGTTGTTGTTATGTGCCATCAAGTTGCCTGCAACTCATAGCAAACCTATGTACAACAGCTCTGAAACCTGCCCTGTCCTCTGAAGCCAGTCTCACTAACTCTGACAGATCTTCCCCCATTGAGCTAGTTAATGTATTAATCCACCTCATCCAGGGTCTTTCTCTCCTGCACTGTTCTTCCACCCTTCCAAGCATGATGTCCTTCTGCAAGGACCAGTCCCCTCCAGAACACATGCCCAGAATATCTGAGATGGAGCTTCAAAATCCTAGCCTCCAAGGAGAAATTTGGTTTCACCCTCTCGATTTGTTTTCTTGGCAGTCCATTGTATATTCAAGACTCTTCTCCAAAACTACAGCTCAAAGGCATCAATTCTATCATCCTTAGTCATTGTCCAGGTCTCTGATGCAAAGCAAGTAATTGCAAACACAATGCCTGGATTAGGCACACCTTAGTCTCTAGACTGACACTGTTCATTCTCAGTACTCTGGAGAGGTCCCTGGCAGCAGATTTACCTAATGCAATTTATCTTTTGACTTCCTGACTGCTGGTGCCAAGAGTGTTGGTTGTGGAGCCAAGCAAGCTGTAACTGTTAACTTCAATCTCCTCTCCATCTCTCATGGTACTGCCAATTGCCCTAGTGGTGAGAATCTTTGAGCTTCAATCCGTATTGAAGACTATAGTACTTGACTTTCTGCAGCAAGTGCTTCAGATCCTCCTCAGTTTCAGCAAGCAAGATTGTGTCATCTTCATAACATAGGTTGTTGATGAGTCTTCCTCCAATCTTGATGCCTCATTCCTCATGAAGCTCAGCCTCCCAAATGATCTGTTCTACATATAGATTAAAAAGGTAGGAGACAGGATACATCCCTGATACACTCCTTTCTTGAT